GGAAAGAATTTAAATAGAGAAGGCCTGATAAGGTGCAGGGCATCACAGATCTGTTTCCATAGTGACATTGTTCAAACAGAGGCTTAAAGGAACATGAATACCGTTGCAGCTGAACTCTATAGAAGATACCAATCTTCCAATGGGATACTGGCTGTTGGTAGTTTGATGTTTTTCCCTATTAGTTGAATTTGGGAAAAAGGTGGTGAGGGGAAAACAAGGTCTTAGACAAATAATTGATTTGACAGACTACTGCTGCCTTCCAGCTCTTGCTTTCTGCATTTTACGTGCTGTCTCCACTCATTTTTACTTTGACTGTTGTAATTGTTAAATACTGCATTCGAGTGTTTTTTAGAAAATTAAATGGATACCCCCACCCCCTACTCACCAATACTGAAGCAAACACAATTTTATACCAGTGTGGGATTCGAATATGCATGTTCCTTCATGTCTGTGTTTATTCTCCTTTGATAAAAAGCTGCAACTGAACCATTTACACAGTGTGAGTGTAGCACACATACATTTAGTATTTCATGTCACCACTGGGTATTTCATGTCACCCACTGTCCTAATCATCCTATATCCATTGGGAAATTCACCAGGCATCACCTTCTTTTCATAACTGATGCTTTTCTCTTTGAAAAGAGGGCTCAAGATCTGGTTAGAAAAAAAGCTGTTTCATGTTACAAATACTGTGGTGTTGGAGTTCTTCCTTCCATTTTTGTTCTCAAAATTGCCATTCTGCAGATTTTTCTTACCTAAGTATGCTCTGAAAATAAGCACAAAACCCTTAAGTTATAGCTGTATAAAACATATTTTAAGATTAAATGCATACCAGTCACATGTCTGTCTAAATTATGATACATTTTAAAAAAACAAAACCCCAAACTTTATTTAAATAGAACTGCAGCAGTTCTTGGACTTGAACTTTTTAGTACAGGCTGAATAAGCGACCTAATAAGAAGATAATTTATGTAGGAAGAGGGTAGAAAAAACTCTTTGTGCTTCTTTAGCAGCTTGACTTCAATGCATAAAAGACTGGGGCAATATGGAAATGCTGAATATTATGAGAATGGCCAAGTTTAGACAACTTTAAGCCATGAGCAGCTTCGTATTTTGTACTGATCAGCTGGTGCTTATCATTGCCGTGACTATTCTTCTCAAAGTGTTTGAGACCATATGGAGTCATTGGAGTTGCACCCAATCTGGATCTGATCATTAGCCTGTTTTCATCTAAGAACACAGGTAGTTTGCATTGGAAACATTATGTACTCATTGAATCAATTGACCTTTATAGTTAGAGAAAATTACCTAGGGAAGAGTTTTGGCTTCAGTGAGGTAAATGGATTAATTATTTTTTTTTCCCAAAATTGATAAGTTGGCCCCCCCAAAATATCTTTAAAGTAACTTGAATGCATATTGCGAAATACTAATTTTCTGTATGTTGATTCAATAGCTGCTTTATGAAGGCATATCCCAAAGGTGCTCAGAGGCAGAGGGAAGAAAAGCAAGTAACTGTAAAAGTGCAGTGTTTTGGCATGAACATGCTAACTTTAAACATACTATTCTAGTTAGACTGTGTATTTGTTTTGGTTAAGGAAACAGGATAGTACAAATCTCCTGTAATAGCATAAATGTGAGTATCTAACAGACAATAAACTTAGAAGACAATTTAAAAAATGGATGTTTCTGCAGAAACTATTTGTATTTTGTAATGAAATCAGTTTTTACATATTCATGGGGAAGTGGAGGGTGTCTCTCAATTATAACCCCTCAGAATGCCAACAGAGCAGATAACACTCATTAAATTCCTCCCCTTTTTCACACCTACCTTAAGGCGAAAAAAACTTACATTGAAACTTCTTATTTCACTTCTTGGAAGGGATAGGGAGCTGGGAATCACAGACACCAGGGCAAATGTTATTGTTGTTTAAATAGTGTAAAAGAAAAAAGGTCACTTTTAACTGAACTCTGATTTTAATGAAAAATGCTGGTTTAGACTGTGCTATTTATTATAAAATTCTGTAAACCAGTGGGAAACTGAAAGTTGGAATTTTTAGTCTCACTCCGTCCTTTCCAAAGAGATTTCATCAAGTGTCTCCTACTCTAGTGGAAGATTTTCAAAGATATCATGTATAGTCTTACTACTGAGCTGTCAGTCAAATAGCAGCCTACAATTACTTGAAGGGGAGTTTCAAAGATGAAACAGCGAAGCTTTTCTCAGTAGTGACAGATGGAAAAATGAGGGGCAGTGTCCTCAAGTTGCAGCTTGAGTGGTTCCCATTGAATCTTAGGGGAGGGTACTGCAGCACTGGCATTGGCTGCCCAGAAATGTTGTGGCACCTCTGTTTGTGGAGGTGTTCAAGGCTTGTCTAGACAAAACCACAGCTGATCTGATTAGGTATTGATGGTAGTTCTGCTTCAAGTGGGATGTTGGGTTAGGGATGTGTAGAGATCCTATCCAGCTAACATTTCTGGGACTCTGCCATTATGTTATCAGTTTATTAGTTTTCCTTCCTTCATCATCATGCCTGGGTAAGATAAAGACCTCCTACAGCACCTCCCAAAACTGGTGATGTCTCAGTCTGTTTGGGGTCCTGGTTCATGGTTTCTAAATTTGGACAGCTCATTCGAGTTAGAGTTCACGAAGCTGTCTCTGTTATCCTGATTTTGAACTTTCCTGGATCTCAGCAAACAAGGGTACATTTTGATTATATTTTCATTTGTGGGTTGGTTTTTTTTCTGATGTGACACACAATCTCTGTGTACTATTGTTCATGAAATCGTACTGTCCTATATCTCTTAATCTACTGCTGTGTTCTGTGAGCCTAACAATGCATGTTCTTACATGGTAGCTGTAGAATATCTGCCCAGCTGCTTGGAATATAGAAGACCAGTGCTCCTGACTCTAAAGATTGTGAAATCACGTACTTTAAAAGCAGTAATCTCATTCAGTGTTGTGTTCCTCACCGTATCTTTTTCCTTGGAAGTCCTTTTTTAGAGGGAATATAGTTGCATTTGAACTTTCTGCCTGCCTTGTAGAGCTTCTGCAACAATTTGCTTCTATAATAACTGGGTAGTTTCTCTTGGAACATGAAAGGAGCATTATGTTTTTGATGGGAGTCAAAAGTAGTGTAACTCAGGTTCTCTCTCTGGAGCTTGCATTAAGTGCTTTGTTAATGTCAGCTTGGCTTTCTGCAGGCAAATGCTTATCTGTGAAGAAAATACACGTTGAATCATATAATTACACCTCTAATCTATTATGAAAGTTTGTTACTAAATTAATAATGCCAGAAATAAATCATATGTTGGTTTAGGTTAGCTTCCTGTACAGCTAGAATCACAGAATTTCCTAATCTGAGCAGACTTTCTGTCACAAGCTCTATAGCTGGGGTTTGTTGCACTCCATGCCAGGAAGGGTCCCTGACGTGCCCCTTGTTTTGATGATTTACTTATGCATGTGCGGACATCTCCACTGACAGTGTGATTCACTGAAGGTGCCTCCTGTATCTTTTGGCAATTGGAGTAATGTACTGGAAAGCTGAGCATGACAGGTGCATTGCGGTATACTTGTTTTAAGGTTGATCACCCATTCCATAAGAATGGGATGCTTTACCTTTAAATAATCCTTAATACTTTTCAGTCAAGTTGCACAGAATACAAATATTTATTTTTAAAATCCAAAACGGGTAATACTGTTAGAAAGATTTTTATAAAGACACAGGTGACAAAGGTGAGAAAATCATACCTGCCAGATCAAGTCTTCTCTAATGAACAGGAAAGGAATGTTGCACTATGAGTCTGACAATGCAGTTGTCCAATATATATCCATGCAGGAGAAACTTGGTTTGATGTAGTTGTGGGTTTTATCTCTGTCTTGTCTGGGATTTCTCTGAGGAGGTCATCTGATAGTCCAGTAGGAGGTAATTTTACTTCTCCTTACTAGTTTGTGGACAATTTTTGCCTCTTTGGATGTGCTGTTGTCACTTTGTTAGGCCAGGTGCAGTCATCTAAATTTTACTATCCTATTGTCAAATGATTAACTCACTGTGTGGTAGGATGTTCTCTCTATCCTGAGTAATGCATAAAACATATTTCATATTAGCACAACAACTGACTGCTGAACCATGCACAAAGGTAGGCTTGGATTAGTTAGTGAAGCATACTACCAACTTTTACTTGAGATTAGACATGATTTTGGCATGATGGACCTATGACCACACTCTGTCTTCTCCTTAACAAAGAATTTAAGGAATACTGTGACGTTAACCTAGAATGTATTTCTAAGAAAGCATGTAGGCAGGGACCTTTGACAAGTTTCATCTTGGAATAGAGGAAGATACTCAAGCTTCAAATTCTGGTCCTTTTGGATGTAATGGGATTTTTTTTTTTTTCAGTCCTGATCCAACTCCCCCTGTGCTTGAGTGAATGCTAGAGTTAGTAAAAGGGAAGGGTAAGAATACAGGAAGGCAGGGGTGGGGCAGGGGGTGTGTGTGACACAGACAGGACAGGAAGAGGAAGGTGAATGTTGTAATTGGTAACAGCTGATACTTAAGTTGTGGATCCAAAATCCATCTAGACTGAAGCTTGGAGATGTGTTCATGTTGCTGTACAAGTACTAACAGACACAGCTCCTGGGCTAAGGAGTTTCCACTTAAAAACACAGAGGTTCCATCCTTTCTACAAGCAAAGAGATGAGGATCTCGGTCCTGGAAAGATGAAGTCCCTTCACAAAAGTCACTGTTGTTCCTCTTTCTCACACAAACTGACAATGACTCAACTCCTGTCTTCTGTGTCCAGGGCATTACTGCCAAGCCACGCTTTTCTTTCCCTAATGTTTCCTAACAGTCAAGTCAACAAAACTAAGTTGGTTACTAGGGTGCTGGCAGAGACCTTCCCTGTGCTATGGAGGGAGCGTGTGCGCATATTTTATTCCTAGGATAAAACTACAGTTCTGCCTTCCAGGAGCCTTTGCAAGTAATTTTCTCTCACTTGTTATCCAGGCAAGCAGTATTCAACCTGTGGATCTGGTATCTTAGATGTGTCCTGAGCCAGTTGTTTTGGAACCTGGTGTTGCATGCACAGAACCAGGAAACTCTCAGTGGGTGAGAAAAAACGACCTTTTCCAAGTACCCTTTGAGGTATACACTGAATGATTATTTGTTTTTTAAGAGTGGGAGAGTTTGTCTGAATAATGTTGAAGAACTAGTGAATTAGGAGCTTTCTTCTACTTCCAAAGGAATCTGTATTGATTTTGTTTGTTCTGGTTGTTCAAAATAAGAAAATAACTTAAAGTCATGTTGTGAGGGAGAAAATCATTAAAAACAATGAATAATCTTGCAGAGGAAGTGTCCCACTATGAAGCCTGACACCAGTGAGTTATTTTTTTTGTGGGAGGGTTATATATATGTTCTCCCTTCCCATCCTTAGTCACCCCTCTATTTCTAAGTGATATGGAAAGTGTTGGTGCCAAAAAATAGCTAGAAGAAATATTGATAAATGTGGGAATTGCTTACTTAGAACAGAGGCAAATTAGAAGGCAGCTGGTTTTCATCTTTTCTGTTAACTTGGGAGGTGGGTGGGTGTGAAAAATTGAGGCTACTGATTTATGTCCCCATATCATGCTCTTGGAGGAGGGGAAAAAGCAAGAGTGCTGAGAGTGAGAATTGAGCACACAGCATTTCTTCAAGCTTCTATTCATTATAGATTGCCTTTTAAGAAATGGAGGGAATAGTTTTTGCAGCTTTTTGTCTCTGCTCTATATCAAATGTCATAAGCTCTAGGGATGATATGAGACTAATTCATGGTATGCTTTATTCCTCAAACAACTTTCTACTTGAAAAACTTCATTGAAGTGGGATGAGTGTTTCCCTATGTTTACAGCATCAGGGAGATGTGGTGCTGTGCATAGTGTCTGGGTTAATTCTAGACTATCAGAAAGGTATTGTAGTAACATGTACAACTGAGGATTTGAGAATCCCCATGCAATATGTTAATGAAGAATGTAATTTAAATTCTTATGTAGAGCAAGTGGTTTTGGCATTACTGTGGATAGTTTTTCAAACTGTCAGTTCCAGGGTGGCTAAATAACAAAGTTAGGAATTATAATACAGAATAAACCAGAAACATTTATCCTGGTAATTTCAAAACTTGTATCTGTAGCTCTGACTATAACCCAGAAAAGCTTGATAGAACAGTGGGTTCAGAGATGGGCAGAAAAATCAGAGATATAGAATGACATCCGTAGGACCAGAGAGTAAGCTAGGACTCTTTAGTTTGGAAAAAACCTTTGTTGGAGGCCAAGAGTGTTGTAAAACTAGAAATGGTGTGAAGAAGGTAAACAAGGAATAATCAGTTATAGCATCATTTGAATACAGGGAGAACTCAGTAAAACTGAGATAACAAGCTTAAAACAAGTCTTTTTTTTTTTTTTTTTTTTTTTTTAAATACAAGGCATGTGCAATTGATTGTGGAACTCACAGCAATAAAATGTCAAGAAAGCCAAAATGGGTTCAGGAAAAGGTTAAATTCATAGAGGTTTAACTTGGGGACTATGAAACATGATGGTCTGACTTCATAAGTCCATAAACTGCTGATTGCCAGAAGCCAGGAGGGTGTATTTGGGAAAGAATTGCTGTAAGCTTATTCTGGCTTTATGTGTTCTTTCCCAAGGCAAGTGCTACTGATGGTCACTAGAGATAGGATATGCATAAGAATGAGACATTGGGGCATTTCTATGGCTTGCTTTCCAACATCCCTAGCTGTCTGACTCCATTTACAGATACGATACTTTGGTAATGCTCCACTTAATGATCAAACTACATCCTTACATTTATTCTGTACTCCTCTGTTCATGCATCAAGGCATACAGTAGCCCTGTCTGCCAGAGCATCATCCAGGAACTTCTCATAGTTACCTATTCAGTGTGACTCCATTAATTTCATGAGAGTGATTGCTTTGTGAGGTGCTGATCCTAATTCTGTTTTGTCTCTTTTGCAGCATCTATACACTCCAGCTTCACTTGCTGTTGCTTTAATCATCTTGGAAGCCTTTTCCACTTCTATTTATTGAAGTTATTTACTGTTGTTATCTAGGTAATTTAGATGTTGCTTTCCTAGTTGGCATCTCTACTCCTTTTCAGCCGCTAACCTTTCTGTTTGTCCACTTTCGGTTTTAAGTATTCCTCCCTCGAAATAATAGGTGGGGGGAATTTCCTGCTTTTGTCGTGGAAGGGGTGGAAGTGTGGTGCTCTGGTTCTTGTTTGTGAATTTGAAGGAAGTGATACTGTAAACTGTTAGTTCTGTAAAGCTCCTTTGACAAGTGACAGACAATTGTATTTCACATGGGCAAAATGCATGTGAGATTTTGTTGTTCTGGATTTTGCTTGTTTAATCCTGTAACTGCCATGAGTGAATTCCAGGTCAATGCTGGTGTCACATTAGCAGTGTGTGAGCCAGTGCAGTGAAGCTGCAGGGGCACGCTGGTTCGTTAACCTCTGCACTGGTGTGCTCAGAACGTGTGTATATTTTTGCTGCTGTCCCAGAGGCTGGGAGTGGGAACTTGGAAGTTTCCCACTGCAATCAATAGGAAACCAGCAAGTACTTAGGAATGAGAATTTCTTTCCTTTCTGGTATCTGGCACACTGCCTATTTTTGTGGTTTCTGTAATAGTCCAGCTTTCACACTCCTCTGGGTGTGCAGAGGTGACTGCTCTCTTCCCTGGCCATGCATATTACTAGGCAAGCCATCTTCAGAGAACTGAGGAAAATTTTGTGCCTTCTTAAAAAAGATGTTAAAAAATAGTGTCCTGAGGAAATCAAAAGAACTGTGGCTTAAACACGGGACTTTTGAACCAATGAGGCAGGCTTCCTTAAAAAGGACTAGCTAAAGTTTGGGGACTAGACAGATACCACAGTCATACTCTATTTTCTATGACCAGAAGTTTTCAAACTAACTTTCTAGCTTTTGTAGTTATGAAAAAACCTTTTAAAGAGGGCAGTAACTGCTGCAGCCATAGCCACCTGAGTTGGCAGGCAGCCTGAAACAATAAGCCTTGAGGTGTGAATTCCTCTCATTCATTCAATGGATGGCTAATTCAAATGGCATTGATACAACTTCAAAGGTGAACATTAACTGTTTCAGTGTGCATCAAAGCATCTAGAAAAATGGAAGAGTATGTAATGAAGGTGAGTAGTATTGTGTTGGGCAGCCTTTTAACAGCACAGGGTGAGCTAAACACTTGGCTTCTGAGTATCTGTGCAGCCCAAGTCTGCTCAATTAAAGAAACATTAGCTATAGATGAGTAGAAGTAAACAACAGAAAGTATGAAGTGAATAAAGAGAAAGGGGGAAATAGACCTTTGTCATAACATTTCAACTGGAGTTAGTCATGTATTTGCCTGCTGGCAATCTCATGCTCACCGAATTCTTTGACACCCTTGGCATGCAAAAAGATTTGACTACTTGCTGGATTTTGAGTTGTTGCTTATCTAGTCTGAAGGAGGAGAGACCAAGTATGCTTCCTACCTGATAAATAGAAGTTTGAGATAGGGATGTGCACGCTGTATTTTGTTGCTGACTGAAGTAAAAAGTAATTTCTATTTTTCGTTTAGCACAAAATGATTAGTTTGAGAGGGAGAATGCTGTTGCTGTGTAGTCTGGCTCAACTGGCGTTACCTTTAAAAATGGTAGAACATGGAAGAAATTTACTATATGAGCTTTTATTTTAAGGCAGCTCCAGCTGCTAAATAACCCTTCTGAGAGGCTGAGATGCATCTAAAAATCTCCTTTCTCTAGCTCTAATTACAGATTGTTATTGATATATTTCAAATTGTTCTTATATTAAAGGACTTCAGTGTCATAGTTTGGGGAGAAGACTGCTAGCCTCAAAGTCTGGAATGAAGTGATATGAAAGTAGAAAAGGGAAGTAGTAAAGCTTTCAAAGACATTCAGCGTAGATACGTTACCCAGGAAGAAGACCTCCTGGATTTGCACAGAAGTAAGTTCTGCAGAAGCCAGGAGCAGATAGACATTGGAAACTGTCAACAATATGGAAATATTCATTTGAATATTTAGAATTAGTTATAGAAAAATCCTCTTAAGCTGTGTCCTCACTTTACAAAAGCTTTTTGAAAGCAGATTATCCTTGTCCAAATCCATTTAGATATTAATGACATAGTAGATTTTTGCCAGGAAGGCTGGGAGGTCAAATAGTAGATCTAGTCTAGAATACATTTGCTGGACAAAATGATCTTAATGCTGCTCTCTGGGCCTTGAACAGGCCTGCAGCTACCCCAGGAGGCTGGAATCACTTCTGGGTTTGAATTGTCCTGGGTGCCCATTGCTGAGCAGTGGCCTTCAAAAATTATGCTGCAGGTTTTTCCATCCCAACTCAGTGGGTTTGTTACACATGTATCTTATGTTTAGAAACTCAAAACCACAGTGAAACAGGCAGTGCAGCTTTCATGTCAAACTGTCACGGCCACCTTAAAATCTGCCTGGTTTCACACTCTGCCTTGAGTCATTGCTTTCCCTGGTGTATCACATGTACTTTCCAAAGGAAGGGGCCAAATGCTGTGAAACTTACTGGAAAGGTTTAAAATCTTTGACCTGTTCTATGTTCCACTTGTTTTGTTTATCGTAGACTCACTACAATTGGTAATTCCATTCAGTCTGTCCCATATTCTTCTAATCAATTCCCTCCTAGATCTTTTTCCATTTGGCTGTTCTTGGAGACTTCTGATCTTGTTGCCACAAACTCCTAAATGGGTTCATTTTCATGACATGTAAATGTTATAAAACTTTTAAAGGGTGGCCAGTATTTCCCCAACTCTCCATTCATTTTCCAGTGTCCGAATCTGATGGCTGCCTGGTCCTTTAAGCTGATGCAGTGTCTACTACTGCCCTAATTGATCCTGCTGACCTTGCACAGCTAAAGCTGTGCATCCCACCTCAGAGATGGCTGCACTCCAGGGCTGGGTGTATATAAAACTACAATACCTGGAAAGCAGCTTGTGACAAAAAGGACATATGAATGTGTCAAGTATTAATGCCAGTGTTCCTGGAGGCCTTGCTGTCTCCCCAGTAAAACAGGTCCAGGGATTGGCT